GCAGCAGATCAAAGAGCCCATGAGGGGACAAGGCAGCTCTCCCTGGGAACATTCCCCTGCAGCCCTGGCACATAACCTGCCTGAGCCCCTGGCAAACTGAGGGGGGATTATTTGCCCTGGGATGAAGTCATGCAGCAGGATGAACATGGTTTGTGTCAGCATCAGCCACTCAGGCTGCAGCCTCGCTCCACGTGGGGCTTTTTTCCCCCCAAAATGTATTTATGTTGGCCTGTGCATGGAATATCCCACCTCAGGGCTGTGTCTCACATCCCACAGGGCTCTAGGAACGAGCTGCTGCCCCAGCACACAGGGGGACTGTAAAAGATCCCACAGAAAAACACCTGGGAATTGTGTCCAGCCCTCACTCAAAATTTCCATCACTGAACAGCAGGAGGGAGTTTCTGTGCCAGCCACAAAATGTGGGACAGGCTGGAATTCCAGGATTCCTTGAGCCAAACCTGGCACCAGCGTGCAGGGACATCACTCCCAGGATGCTGCTGAGCAGTGAATCTGTTCTGGCCAAAAAAATTGGCATTTTTTTCTTCTCCAAATTTTACCTTCTGTGGCCAAAAGAGGAAAGTGTCTGTGCTCCTCTTTGAAATCCACAATCACACACACAGTTGGCCAAGCCTCACCTGGATGCTGGCCAGTGCTTACACATTTTCTTGTTGCTGGCACACAGAGCCACTGTACAAAAAGATCTGTTTTACTAAAAAACCCAGATGTGTTTAGCTGAAAGTTAAAAAAAGAAAAATCATAAAAAAAATAAATCTCAATGACTGAAAAAGATGGGAAAATCCAGGGGGGGTTGTGGTTTCTCAAGCCTTGCAAGCTATTTATTTCTGGGAATCACAAACCTCATTTCACTTCATGAATCAGATGCTCCTTAAAGTTACAGCCCTCTTGTCTCCTCTTTTCCCCTCTCCTCGTTCCCAGTGGTTAAATAAAGAACAAAACAATGCCATATTTAGGGTATTTATATATAGAAGAGGCTCCATGAAGAACAAAAGGACTGTTCCAGAGGAATATTGGCACCAGCATGCACATATTCCACTTGGGAATATATCCCTGCCTTACACATCCAGGTTAAACCTCTTCAGAACATGCTCACAACACAATAAATAATAAATGATAAATGATAAATGATAAATGACAAATGATAAATACAGAGCATTGTCCTGCACTCTTCCCACTGGATTCCACTCCAGCAGGGTTTTTCCAGCTCATTTTTACATTAGCCCACGCAAACTGGCATTTTCCTTTTCTCCCTCACTGCAGCTCTTGTGGAAGTTCTTGCCCCAGATTTCAGTGATTTGTGCCCAGGATTTCTCCTGCAGTGTCAAAGTTTGAGAAAAGCACAAGCCAAGGCTCAGGGGAAGGGGAACAATGGGGAAAGAGACAAGAAGAACACAAAGACTGGGCACAGAACATTCCCAGGCCAAGGATCTCTGTGGTGACATTAAACCCTCTCATCCCAGGACTCTGCTGTGCCCTGACCCCATTCTGTTCTGGTTCTGATCTCTGGTTCTGATCCCTGAGGTGAAAACACATTTCTGTGTCCTGCAGGGACCAGCCTTGCCATGCATGATGGATAAAAGTGACTTCCAAAGAGATGTGCAGCACAGGAACTTCAAAAATAACGTTAAAAATCTGGGGTTTGGGGGAAATTTTGAGAAGTAATGGCTACAGTGCAAATTCCTGGTTTAGAGGAAGGTGTCCATGGCAGGGGGTTGGAGTTAGGGGATCTCTGGGGTCCCTTCACACCCAAACCCTCCTGGGATTGTGGGATAAATTTGTGTGCACAATGCACAGACACAGAGCAATGCACAAATACACCAGTGAACCACCAAAATGCTGCCTTTGATCTCCCTAAAAATAAACTAAAAGTATTAAATCAACCCAATTTGTGTTTGAATTCAGACGTTCATGGAGAAAAGAAGGAAATACATCAGCTGAGGGTGATGCATCCAGCTTTTCCAGCCACAGCTCCCTGACCTCTCTGCCCCTCCCAGGCTGCTCTTGACTCCATCCACATTGGGGAAAGGATTCCAGCAGCTGGAGAGCCTGGAGCTGCCTCCTGGGGACACATCCAGCTGTGGGACATGGGCATCCACAGCCTCCTGTCACCTGCCTGAAGCTGGCCCTGCAGCTGCAGCACCCAGAGATATAATATTTTATATTATAATTATTATTATTTCAAATATATATAATAAAATACAATATATATTATATAATACTATACTATACTATATTATTATGTATTATATATTATATATTTCTATTATATTTAAAAATATTATTTTCAATTTTATATTAAAAATTATGTGTGTATATATAATATTTCTATATTATATATACAATATATATTAATATAATAGAAACTATATATGTCTATATTATATTTCTATATTTCTATATTATATATTATTTCTGTAATATAGAAATATAATATACTAGTATGTATTTATAAAATATTTACTATATTTTATATTATTTTATAATTTTTAATTTTTATTATATTTTATATTAATTATTCTCCATTATTTTTCTATTATTTTAATAATATTTACATTTTGTATTATATTTCATTCTCAATATTTTATATATTTATATCATATTTTCATTCTCATATAACATAAATAATTATTTCTTTCTAAAGCACAAGTAGGGCTTGTTGTTTTGGTTTTTTTTTAACAAAAGCAGCTTTTCCCAGCTAAGTGAGAGCAGCAGAGCAGGACCATGGAATGTGATCCCAGGGTTTTACATCCTGTCCAGCAGGGCAGAGTTAAATGAAGGATGCTCAGGGCAGGCAGTGCTGCCCACCCAGCAGCACTTTGCTTCAGACTGATTTCCAAATCAGACTTTTGCCTATTTCTCTTAGGGAAAGCAGCAAAAAGAACACACAAGAATTATTGTGTTATCTATCCCTTTCACAGAAATCATCATCTGGCATTCCCATTCACACTTGGCCCATCTGTTTTTCTATAAATTATGGAGGGAAAAGGGCTGAGTGTGTGGATATTTGTAAAAACAGGATCCTCAAATGAAATCTGTAAATGAAGAGCACCTTGCACTCATGGGGTGGCTGATAAAGACATGGCAACAGCAGGCCCAGGAATTTGCCATCAGGTTTTTCCTGATTTTATGGCCCAGCTTCCAGATTGTTCCCAAGGGAAGTGTTTCTCCAGAGGGAGGATGATGAGGGAGGACAGCCAGGTACTTCATCCCACCCTGCAGTTTTAAAACTGCCACAGATGGGCTTGGTTTGCATGGTATAAAAGAGCAGAAAAATTAATTTCACAGCTACAAATTCATTTTTCAGCTTGTACAGGGAGAAGGCGACACGAGAGTCACACAATCCAGTCCCCAGGACATTCCCTGCATGCAAGGAGCAGCAAACACAAAGAACAGAATTTGAGGTAATTTCCCTCCTGCATTTCACAACATGCAACTGAAGTGTGATTAAATGTCTTTTTTGGTTACAAAATCATAATTATTACAACTACAAAATCAACTATTAACGAGAACATCTCCCTTTCTTTTCACCTTTTCACATCCTTTGTGTGTATTTCAGCTGGTTAAGTTGTGGGGTTTTTTTTGGAAGGGGAGCAAGAAAACCACCGAACTCCTTGCCAGAAAGAAAATATGAGGAAAAAGATTCCCAAATGTATTTTGTTTTAAAAAGTGAGGCAATCCTGAGTGGCCCAGACAGTGAAACTCCAGCCCAGCTCTGCTCTCTGTGGGCTCTGACCACCAAGGAGGTGTTGTTTAACCCCACAAATTTCAGAAACCCCAAACTAGGTGGGAGCAGCACAAAATCCCCATTTTCTCACCTCGTTCATTAATTCTCCAAACTGCTGGAGAGCCCAACAGCCCCCAAATCCCAGAGCAGCAGGAAACTTTCCTCCCCAGAGCCCCTCAGAATCACCCAACAGCGCTGAAACCCCCTGGAACCCCAGCACAGAGCTGCCCTTCCAAAGCAAACTCCAGGACTCCACAGCAGCACCTTCACAAGGGGAGATAAAACCACATTTTAGGCTGTTCCATTAGAGGGCATCCTACAACATCCTTTTGTGGTCAGAGGCTTCTCCTCATTCATATCCTCTGCAATAATTCACGGAAGGTTTTCCATAAGAGCCAGGAACATTCACACTCCCAGGGTTTTCATCCCTTGTAATTGCATTGATTGCATTAATAGATGAATTTTCTGGTTCAGTTCGGTGTCTGTTTCCCTCCCCTCACCAGGAGAGGTGGATTTTCAATGTTTTTCCACAATGTGAGATGTGAATAAGCACAACACAAAACTGATTCCAAACCTCAGGACAGCCACACATCACACTTGAGAACAGCAAGGCACTGAAAAGGTGAGCAGGTTTGATCAGGTATTTTGAAATTAGAGATAGAAGTGGATATTCTCAAAAACTGCCCAAGACAGAAGCTCTACTGCTAAAATACAATGTGGGGAGTGCTCAGAGCCTGCAGCAGGAGCCAAACCTGAGCTCCAGGACACAGGAAGACATGGTGCAAACAGTCACTGCTCCCACCCACCTACTCCATCTTTAAAAAAATATTTTAAAAATCTTTTCAGGCAGTTTATTAATACAGGTACAGAGAGACACACGCAGTTTACGACCCTGAAAATCAGCAAGAAGCCCCAGGGCAGTAAAATCTGCTTGTAGTGATAAATATTTCCCTGACTGGGCTGTGACATGGATGAAGTACCTGTAGGTGCCCTGAAATCACTGCACAGACTGAAGGCACCAGAGGATCCAGAGGTAATAATATTGCAAATTAAGAAGTCTGGGCTAAGAAACAGGAGTTGACACGATGACATGAAAACATCACTGCGAGACAGATAACTCAGTCACAATAAATTACCATCCTATCTGACTTAAAAAGCAGAATGGAAAAGTGCTCCTGTCACACCACATGACAAATGAACTTCTGCCTGCTGAAATGCAAGATTAATGAAGGCACAGAAGAGACATGAAAGGACTTACGAGGATCCTGGGCTCGCTGTTGGCGGGGGACCTGGAAAAGTGACAGAAGAAAAACAGCAGGATGAGTTACGGCGAGGCAGCAAGCAGGAAGCTTTTGAAAACCTTTTAAAAGATAAAAGCACCAGTCTGTGGTGCTGCCTGTGGTTTATGGAGTTGAACAGAGGAGTGGCAGCCCCTCAGCACCAAAGACAAGGCTGTATTGGCTGCAGAACATGACACAGGACAATAAACAGGTGAGCAGCTCACCCTCCCCTTGAAACTGCCTTAGGAGAACACCTAATGATTAATTTCTTATCAGAAATCAGAAAACACGGGAGATTTATGAAAAAAAAGAAGATGAAACTCATCACATCCATCATTCCTTGTGTGTTATTTGTCCAGTTCCAAAGAGGATTAACCAGGACTGTGTGCAAATATCTTCATCTCAGTGAATTATTTCCCCCTGACCATGGAGCAGGAGGGGGAGAAGACACACAAAACCTGTTTCTTGTTTGGAATCTTCTGAGTGGTGAGACCAGCTTTGAAGGCAGTTATCTCAATATAAACTTGGGAGAATGAGTGCTTATTTTCCCTGACAGGTATATATGGGGCTCATCTCAGGCCCTCAGCCTGCAGTGCCAGCTGAGGTTTCTCACTCACCAGACACAGAGGTCGCTCAGAATAAAGGAGTTTATCCCCTCTGGTCTGAATCTGCCCAGGTACCCCATTAATGGGGGCTCAGCCTGGAGCGAAGGAGGCTCAGGGGGGCTCTACACAAATCCTGCCAGGAGGGGACAGACAGGGAGGGTCGGGCTGTGCTCCAGGGAACAGGGACAGGAGGAGAGGAAACAGCTTCAAGCTGTTCCAAGGGAGGAGGTTTGGATTGGATATTGGGAAAAATTTCTCCTCCAAAAGTGTTGGAATAGTCTACTCAAGGCAATCACCATCCCTACAACTGTTCAAAAAACTGGATGTGGCACCTGGGACATGGTTTAGTGGTGAACATGGTGGCAGTGCTGTGTGTTGGTTGGACTTGGTGATCTTAAAGGCCTTTTCCAACCTGAACATTCCATGATTCTATGAAAATACAGCTGTTCCTACATGCCCATGGGGCCAATTATTTAGGAAACTGTGGATGGGTTAAAAGGGCAGAGATCCCAGCCCTGCAGGACAGACAGCAGGGTCCAAGTATCTCTTCTCAGGGGTGTCCCATGGCTCCTCATCTCTCCAGGAGCTCCATCCAAGCTCCATCCATGGCATGTTTCTGCCCTGCCATCCTAACACCTTCTCTGGGAAGCCCATTTTGAGTCAGCTCATGGATTCCTGGGCTCTCTGCATAACCCAAGCTCAATAAGTTTAACAAACTTGGTTTTTCCAACCTCAACAACTCCACGCCGCCGCCACACCAGCGCGCTGCCCTCCCCATGCCAAGCCCCTTCTCCTAAGCAGGAGCTGGGTGAATTTACGAGGAGCAGACTCACCGAACTTGACGAAGAGCACGCCGGTGGTGGACACGGTCCTCCTGCCGTTGGTGGCCACGCACTGGAAGTAGCCGGTGTCGGTGGTGTCCAGGTTGCGGATGCGCAGGCGGGAGCCGTACGGCGTGGCTCGGAAGGAGATCCTGCGCGGCTCCTGCACCACGGGCGCGTCGTTCTTCAGCCACCGCACCGTGGGAGGGGGGTTCCCCGACACCTTGCAGTGCAGCTCTGCCGTCTGCCCCAGCGTGGTGGTGATGTTGTTCATGGGCTCGTCCAGCGTCAGGAAGTAATCTGGGGTTGGGGAGAAAAGAAGGGGGATGAAGGGCTGCAGAGCAGGGATGGCACGGTGGAGAAAGCTCCTGCTGGTCTTTGGAAATGACACAGAGGAGGTGGATTGTCACAGACATCTTTTATGGAAAATCCTTTCCTTAGGACTTTTCCTCCTGAGAAGCTGGGAGGCCTCAGGAACAAAATGCAAACAATGGTTATCTGCTGCTGTGGAATGCAACAGGTGCATCTGGGATTGGTCTCATGGGGTTGTTTCTAATTAATGGTCAATCACAGTCAGCTGGCTCAGACTCTTTCCAAGACACAAGCTTTTGTTATCATTCCTTCTTTTTCTATTCTTAGCGAGTCTTCTGATGAAATCCTTTCTTCTTTTAGTATAGTTTTAGTGTAATATATATCATAAAATAATAAATCAGCCTTCTGAAACATGGAGTCAGATCCTCATCTCTTCCCTCATCCTCAGACCCTGTGAACACGGTCACAGCGGATAGCAGGGTTCCCTCTGCTGTTTCAACATCTCCTATTTGCCTTCATTTAGCACAGAAAAAAACACTGCTGCTGTTTTTTCTTTTCTTTTTCCTAACCAAAACACAGGAAAAACATCTCAGCACTCCAGTTGTTCATTTTGATGCCGACCTGCCTCTGCTCATTCCAGAGCCCACCAAATGTAGGAACATCTGAAAGGAATCATTCAGAAGTGTAAATCCTGTGACCCAGAGCAGCTGTGGCTGTCCTGGCAGTGTCCAAGGCTGGGCTGGACAGGGTTTGGAGCAGCCTGGGACAGTGGAAGGTGTCCCTGCCATGGCAGGGGTGGCACGGGATGAGATTTAAGGTCTCTTCCAACCCAAACCATTCCAGGATTCTGTGATCCTGTCTCCAAGCCATTCTGAGTTACTCACAGGCTGAGCAGATAGTGTGTAATCCATGATTTTGTAAGCACCAGCTGCAGAGATGGGGAATAAGGATCATATCTGGGAAAGGAGACTTTATTCTCACTCAGTGTTTCCATGGCTAAGAGTACTGAAGATTACCTCCACTCTGAAATAGGGTTCATGGTTGAAAAATCAAATGAAATTAAAATTACGAAGATGAATCTCTCCTAACCCATTCCTGAGCACTGCCTTCTGTCCAGGGCTATTTCACTGGGCATCCCTCAGGAAGAGGCCATTCCTCATTCCCTGAATTCACCACTTCATTACATCCTTTAAAGATGGGTTGGGATGGGGAATGGAATCCTCGGGCTCTCATCTCCATGTCAGAGGTTCAAAACTAATGGTGGCCACCATCAGCTGCTGGCTGTCCCATCAGCAGGGTGGCCAAGGAATGAGAAATCCCAACTGCATCTGGCTCCTGAACTCTCAGAGCCAGACCAGGAGGTCAAGAAAAGCCAGAATCAGGCAGTGAACTTGGAATCACAGAATTATTTGGGTTGGAAGGGACCTTGGAGTTAACCCATTTCCACCCCCTGCCATGGCAGGGACAACTTCTACTATCCCAGGCTGCTCCAAACCCTGTCCAACCTGGCCTTGGACACTTCCATCCCCAAATTGGTGCTGTGCTGCTTGTGCTCCATCACTCTCAAGTCCACCTGCAGCAAGAAACCTTCCTGAAAGTGTGAAAAACCCCTCCAGCAGTTCCAAACCAGCTCAGCCACCCAGCCTGCCTAAGTAAGCCACTTCCCTAATTATTCCTGTAATCTTGGCCTGCCCAGCTCCTCCCTTCATTATGGTTTGTGGAGAGCAGTATCTCCTGCCTTTGTTTTTAATCTGTTTAGCACACAGCTTACCCTGTGTTTGCACAGCACTTTGAACAAAGCCTCCCTGTCCTCACCTGGTCCCAGGAGCCATTTGGGACAAACATTTGGCACCCAGGCCCTGCCCACAGATAATTTTTTTTCCACGTGTATTTTTTAAATTAAGTTCTAATGTGCAGGTGTGAAAATGTGCTTCTCTCAGGAGCAAGGGACAGGATGAGAGGGAATGGCCTCAAGTTGTGCCAGGGGAGTTTTAGATTGGGAATCAGGGAAAAAAATGTGCTGGGAAGAGCTGTAAAGTGTTTAAGCAAGGTGCCCAAAGCAGTGGTGGAGTCACCATCCCTGGAAATGTTAAAAAAAAACATGTGGAGTGGCACTTGGGGACATGGTTTAGTGGTGAACATGGTGCTGGTTGGACTTGGTGATCTTAAAGGCTTTTTCCAATTTGAACATTCTATGATTCTATGAAAATACAGCTGTTCTGGCACTCTCATAGATCCAGTTATTTAGGAAACCTGTGGATGGGTTAAAAGGGCAGAGATCCCAGCCCTGCAGGGTCCAAGTCTCTCTCAGGGGTGTCCCTTGGCTCCTCATCTCCCCAGGACCATTTCTCCAAGCTCCATCCAAGGCACATTTCTGCCCTGCCATCCTGACACCCTCTCTGGGAAGCAGGGCTCCAGCCAGCCCATGGATCCCTGGGCTCTCTGCACAATCTGGGTTTAATAAAGCCCCACTAATGGCCTGGGACCAGAGAACCACAGTTAATTACCCAATGTGGTGTTTCTGAACCACAGCCATTTATTTAATTCCTGATAATGCTCCTTCAGCCATCTCCAGCCCAACAGGGAGGGAAGCAGCCCTGGATGGGCTGCCTGACAAGCAGCACAGTGAACAGGATGGGTTAAAGCTCCTGAGGAACACAGGAGAGGCAAATAAAGGAGTGAGGATGTAGGGCACGTTTCCAAAGGCTGGAAAAGGATTTTGAGGTACCAACAGAAATTATAATCAGTGAAAAAGTGCGGCTGAACTTCTCTGTAAATAGCAACACAAGTGGCCTCAGGAGCTGCTGACTCCTCTGATTGTTCTCCACCTTCCTCCAGGAGCTACTGCAGAAACGCTAAAACAAATTCATCTCCTAAACTCACCCTAGATTAGTCCTCAGATCTGTACATTTAGCATCTGAATCACAAACCAGATCAAGCAGCTCACCTGAGATCAGATTTAAACAGGGAGGGTTTGAAGCCTTTGGGAGCTCTGGGAGATGTTTCTCACAGATAAAGCAGTTTTGGAACTGAAAATGAACTCCCCAAAAACCCTGGATTTCTGCTGAGGCACAAAAAATTATGAGCATCCCTTCCCTGGCATGCACCAAACTCCTCCACTGCTGCCCTTGCCTGGTGTGGAGGGGTTGGAGAGAGGTTCAGTTGTATTTTTATTGTCTCTCACCTTCCAAAGCCCATCAAAAGGAGAAATTCTTCCCTGTGACAGGGGTGAGGCCCTGGCATGGTTTTCCCAGAGCAGCTGTGGCTGCCCCTGGATCCCTGGCAGTGCCCAAGGCCAGGCTGGAGCAGCCTGGGACAGTGGGAGGTGTCCCATGGCAGGGGTGGGATGGGATGGGATTTAAGGTCCCTTCCAATGAATAATTCATCTGCCCCTCTCCTGCCATCCAGGAGCCCTCCAGATGGATTGACTCCCTCTGACCTAAAGGACAATTTCTTAGAAGAAAGGATGGGTTTTGTGCACTGGGAATGTTCCAGTCTGGTGGCACTGGCCTTTGGAAAGTCTGAGTCTAATCCTGGCTCGGAGCAGCCCTGGGTGAATCAGCTCAGTTGTGATTTTTAGAAGAGCCAAAGGGAAGTAGACACCCAAAGCCAATCAAAGCTCACATGGGATTTGTGCAACTAAGGCCTTTTAAAAACAGCCTTAAACCTTTTGGCTTGATGTCTCCAGCCATAAAGTGAGGATAATAATCCCTCTTACATCATGGGGAGGCTGCTATGTACATTAATGAGATAATGCTCATAAAGCACTTTGAAGGTGAAAAGTGCTATGCTGGGATAAGCACTGTTATTATATTTTAAGTTAAATCTCAGGGTTTCGAGCACAGAACAAAAGCCTGTCCATATTTTAGAGTAGCACTCTATAAAAACATTTGGGAAATGTTTTAATTTCCAGAAGTACGGGAGAAAAGCCTGAAAGAGTTCTAAATAAAATTTAGCCCACCTATAATTTAATAATAGTCAAACTGATTTTTTTTTAATTTGTAAAAACAATTTACTGCTGGGCCTAGACCCCGAATGCCAAGTTTCAGCCCACAGAGAGGGTTTTTTTTAATGGCTGAGTTATAAACCCTTGAAAAATGCTGACAGCCCCTTTACTAGAGCAGCACTAGCGGGTGCCCTATAATGAACTTTTAAATGACTTGAGATAATATCTGGAAAGCCAAGCCTGAAATATATTTCTGGGTTTGAGCCATTGCCAAGGCAAACACAACACATCATAAGTCATCCTCATGATTCTGAGCGCATAAATTGGAGACACTGCATATAAAACCCAAATATTAGGTATCCTTCATGGCCAAACTTTGGGCTGGTTTGATGTTACAGAACAGCAACAGCTGTGCAAGGATGAAATGTGGAGCGTTGCGTGTCTCCAAAGAAGAAAAGTGTCTGTATTTCCACAGCTCTGCCCTGACATTGTTAAATAGGAGCCTGCCCAGTCCTAATAAATCCTCCACTATTCCACTACTTTTAAGTGGAACCCAGGTGGCTTTCAAAATAAAAGCTCGTCCTGGCCGGCCAAGGAATGTTAATCTGCTCTGTGACCACATGGTTACTCTATCTTAAATTACCAAAGACACAGCTCAGAGCAGTAACACCCTCTTGGCTTGCAGGAGGGTTTTGCTGGCCACAGGGAGACCTTTCCCCCCAGCACCGTGTGTGCTGCATGTTTCTGATTTCACAAGGTGTTTAAAGCACGATGGGGATGCAGGATTAGACCCTGGAAGGGTCATTTTATGAGAAGAGCTGTTGTTTCATTTATCCTTCTCTTTCTGCCCTTCTGATCTTTCGGAATATTCAAAGAAAAGCTAAAATTAAAATCTCTGCTCAAGCCTGAACCAGCTTTAATCCAGGTGCACAAGAAAGGCTGGTGAGCCAAGTTCCTTCCACTACAGATGGGGAACAACACAGTTCTCTGCAAACATCTCCAGACCTTTCCTCAGGCAGCTGTGGGGATACCTTTTCCAGCT